CCGTCATCGAGGGTGATCTCGGTCTCGTTGCGAAGACCAAGGCTGCTCACCACGCCATCTCTGCGCCGTTCGAGTCGTCCTTATCGCTTGCGGACGAGCCGTTTGTTGTGCAGTACGAGGTCAAGTACCAGGAGGGCGGCAACTGCGGCGGTGGCTACGTCAAGCTGCTCGAGGACGGCTTCCAGACGAGCGGCAAGGAGTTCTCTGACAAGACTCCTTGGACGATCATGTTCGGTCCCGACTTGACGTGCCCCGGCACCAAGGCGAGTATTTCGATTTCTATACTGGGAACACGTGTTGACGTGCGACGCGCCACAGATTCACTTCATCTTCCGCCACAAGAACCCCATCACTGGCGAGTTCGAGGAGAAGCACCTCAAGGTGCCTCCCAAGCCCACTATCGAGAAGACGACCAACTTGTACACCCTCGTTCTTTAGTGCGTGCTTTCATCTCACCATATATACACGAATTCCAAACTAAACGATATATTGCAGCCCAACCAACCAGACTTTCGAGGTTCTCTTTAATGGCGAGGCTCAGAGCTCTGGCTCCCTCCTCGAGGACTTCTCGCCCGCGGTAAACCCTGCCGCCGAGATTGACGACCCGGAAGACTTCAAGCCTGAGGATTGGGTTGACACCAAGCGCATCGCTGATCCCGAGGCGACGAAACCTGAGGACTGGGATGAGGACGCTCCCTACGAGATCCCCGACCTGGACGCTGAGAAGCCGGAGGACTGGCTCGAGGATGAGCCCGCTGTAATTCCTGACCCCGGTACGCGTTCTAAAGCGCTCTTACACGTAGACCTTAGACTCACATGATCTTGTAGACGCTGAGAAGCCCGAGGAGTGGGATGACGAGGAGGACGGTGACTACATCGCGCCAACCATCCCCAACCCCAAGTGCGAGGAGGCATCTGGCTGCGGCGAGTGGAAGCGTCCCTACAAGCCCAACCCCGACTACAAGGGCACCTGGTACGCTCCCATGATCGACAACCCGGCTTACATCGGCGAGTGGGCCCCGCGCAAGATCGCGAACCCTGATTTCTTCGAGGACCTGACCCCGCTCAAGTCGCTCGTCAACATCGGTGGTATTGGTATCGAGCTTTGGACCATGACCGAGGACATCCTCTTCGACAACATCTACGTTGGCCACTCGCTCGAGGACGCGCTCAAGCTTAAGGCGGAGACGTTCGACGTCAAGAAGCCGCTCGAGGTCGAGGCCGCCAAGCCGAAGAAGGATGAGACTGCCGCAGAGGCTACGTCTGTTACCTTCAAGGAGGACCCCGTCGAGTTCGTCCGCCAGATGGTCTTCACCTTCATTGACGCCGCCAAGGTTGACCCCGTCGAGGCGTTCAAGACGCACCCCGAGACTGGTGCCGCGCTTGCCGTCGGTGTCCTCACTCTTTTCGGTATGATCGGCGCCCTGTTCGGCCTCGTCGGTTCGCAGCAGAAGCCCGCAGCCAAGCCCGTACCCGCGAAGAAGACCGACGCACCGACGCCGGACGACAAGGTTGCGGAGAAGGCGCCTGTCGCTCCCGCTGGTGGCGAGAAGAAGGACGAGACGCCAGTGAAGAAGCGCAAGTAGGATGTTGTATGAGTTGGCGTGCAAAACGCGCATGGAGCGGCGCGCTGAGGAGTGCGCGCCGAATGTATGGCCCCGAGGGGCAGATTTGGATTCATGGGATATTGGGCGGCTTGGACTATAGGAGAGGCGCGATAGGCGCGGAGAGTATAGTATCATCGACGTTCGTCTCGCTATTATTTGCGCTCACAACATGCTGTGTCTATTGAGTCGTTCACATCGAATGCAATGCTCTTGAATCTCCAGTTTATCACTGCGTGAACATTACAACTCATCGCCGCGCAAGATTTCTTAGGACAGGGCAAAGGGACGCCGTTGACGGTTATGTGCAAAGCGTTGACTCCAGCGCAAAGTATAGCGCTCGCGCGGCGTAGAACGCTACAGCACGATGCTACAACGCCTGTACCCTAGATCGCTTCAAGACGCTCGTGCCACCAGGATTCCGCGCGGTCAGCTCACGTCTTGTTCCCGAAGTTATACATAAGATGGGATAGCGTGTTTTGCATCCTTCGCCTCTGTACTCAAGCTCGCCACCACTACCAATTACTCTCCTAACACTTGCAGCAGCATGAAGCTCGCTCTGCCATCTATCCTCCTCGCGTCTGCCGCCGTCGTATCCGCCGGCCCCGTCTCCTATGCCCTCTGCCAGACTGGTACGTCGCTTACCTCTGTCAACGCTATTCTGAGCTCATGCATTTATCAGGCTGTAATGGTATGGCCGTTGCATGCTACGCCGCAGCAGGATGCGTCTTCGGTACGGTTGCCACTCCGGCAGCGCCAGCCGCTATTATCGGTTGCAATGCCGCACTCGGGAAGTGCTCGGCGACATGCGCTACCATCGCTTTGTTTGCGCCCACAGCGTAAAACTGGTGCTTGTATACGAAGTATTCTTTGCCCTTCTGCACGATTTAAAGGTACTCTGTTTCTGACACTGTAACTCGTCGCCGCTGGCGGTACGTGCGAGCGCATATATCCCGCGTCTTGGACTGTATTCGAATATCTATGACGTGCCGTTTCAATCCATCTGCCGGTGTGCGCAGCGAGGCACCTCGAAACTGTACTTGCCTTCGGGCGTCTATACCGTGGTAAAGCCTACAGCACGAACTTTGAATGCCATCGCAGTCGCAGTCCTACAACACGTTGGACACTGACAGATTCACGCGATGGGATCCCAGCGTTATATAAGGCTATAGCTGGCTCGACTGGCGCACTTCCAGGCTCGCCCTAACCACCAAACCCCTTCGCTCGCTCACCCACTCACCCGCCGCCGCTGCCACCCATGAAGCTTACACTCCCGCTCATCCTCCTCGCCCCGGCGGTTGTGTCCGCTGGGCCAATTGCCTACGGCATTTGCCAAACGGGTACGTGTTGTGTGATCATTCTCTAGCCGGTGCCGAGCACTTACTTGTATCACACAGGTTGTAATGCCGTCGTTGTCGCGTGCTATGCAGGCGCAGGCGCCGTATTTGGAACCGTCGTCGCTGCCCCAGCTGCCCCGGCCGCAATCCTCGCTTGTAACGCTGCGTTGGGGACGTGCTCGGCTGCTTGTGCCACCGTCGCCCTGTTCGCGCCGACGCCTTGAACGGCATGAGCGCGATCCTGAAGGACCCGGCCTTGTTCTGCATGATGACTACTGCCTGTGATGTATCAAGCCGTTGTATTATATTCTAATTTCACGAGGCGATGTACGTCCCCGAGCTCGAAGACACTCCCGAGGGGGAAGATTCTGAACCAATCCACATTGGCGAAGCGTGCTGAGTAGTAAAATATTGTATAGACCCGCGTGAGAGGATTACAATTGCTTGGACAGATAGTACAGCCTGTAAACGTCGGAAGTCTGCGCATGCGCATGCATGTTGAACGTTGATGTTGGACCACCATTGGCCTCTCGCTCCCTCAGGCACTGTATCTAATGCGACGCTCGTGCTGCCCAAGTCTACTTTTCTCGTTCTACTCACTCAGACCTGAGTAGCGATTTTTCCGACACAGTATACGGCACACACGAGTGTAAGAGCATGTTCGATGTCGCCATTACACGAGCCATCAACAACAAACCAATGGCTTACTCGAAGGGGGATTTCTATTCCACAGGCTTGCCCTCGTCGTCCACCTTCAGCTCCCATTTGTTGACGGATCGCTTCTGAGCCGGTAAATCGCCCCGCGCCTTCACTTCCAAGGCATCTGGGAAGAAACCGTAGTGCTTGAAACCCAGCTTAACAAATACTTTGGCGCTGGCAGCGTTATCCTCAAAAGTTCCAGGGAGGAAATGCCGGGCATTCATACGCGGGATGGCCCACTGCGTGATGATGGCCTTTGCCACGGCACTCATGATGCCTTGGCCATGGTGACTCGAGCGTAACCAGCCTATTGTGAATCGGTGAGAAACCTCTCTGGACGCATACTACATATTGGGAGACAGGACTCTTACAGCTAAGAGTATAGACGATGCCGGGATCACCGGAAGGAAGGGCTTCATTGGCGTCCGCGAGCTCTTTTCGCTTGGCCTCGTTGACCTCCCAGTCGAAAGCCGTCCGTCTGAGATAGAATTCCCCGAGATATAACTGCTTCTCGTTCCTGGTGTCTCGAATACATCTGACGGGGGTGAATCCAAACTTCGCACGCGGCACATCCTCTCCCTGCGCGGCTGCCTCTTCGAGTCGCCGCAGCTGACCATGCCAATCGTCTACGATCTTGTTGTTGCGGGATTGGCCATGCTCCAATGTGAAGGGCCACGGTGTGCTTCGAAGCCCGTTATAGACTTTTGGGTCGTTCATAGGCTCGACCATATCCTCTGCATCAGAGGGGCGCGGGGGGGTCAGGATGATGTGCGAGAGCGGCGCGGGGAGGCGCAGGAAGGGCTCATTTCGCGTCGCATCCCATTCGAGAGGTTGGATCTGGCGCACGAGGGCAGCAGACATGACAGTAGAGAGATGATGCGTGAGACCGTGAAAGAAGCACTACCGTACCAGAATTAAATTATATGCAGAGCTCAACAGGTCGAGTCAGAATTCATGGGAGTCATGCGCTAATTAGCCTTCATTCAGAACCTATGAGATCGCCCTGAGCAACAGTGTCCTCGTGAAGGGCCCGTGTTCGCAGTCGTCGTCGGGATACCTTGCACATGCAAAGTAGTCTGCCGTCAACGCGAGTGTTGCAAGCTTCTCACGACGTCGTGCAGACTCATCCGCGCATTTCGAAGAAATTGGGTGTAGTATGATACGATATAAGCAGTACGGTATTCGGCAGCTTACAGGGGTGCCCGATAGAGTATACGCAGGACGACATAAGGGTAGGAGGTAAGATGTGGCTCGTGTGATCGCGACTTGCCCGTCGGTGAAGTTCGCGCGTGCACAAACAGTACCGTCACAGTACGTACAGCTAGCTAGCAATAGTGTACTTGTTAGGTCAACATACAACTCGGATATGGTGTAACGGCTAACATTGCCGCCTCTCATGAGACCGCGGCAGCTCGGGGTTCGATTCCCCGTATCCGAACTGGCCAGGATTACCCTCAGTTTTTTGCCTTTCATGTGTAGGATCAAGGTCCCACGACTTAACTCGCGAGCCTAATGTGTGACTGCACCAAATTCGATTATTCTGAATACAACAACAAACATTGTCTATACCGTTCGAACGCATACCCCATCACAGATAATGAAGTACAGGTTTGGGATGCCAGTCAGGAAACACATCGTTGTCCAAAGGAGACCCAACAGTCCCCACCCCCGTCGCCCATGCAAGATGCAAGAAGCTAACGAAATCGTGCGGGTTCTTGGCAATCTTCTCCTTGAGCTCGTCGATGGATATGTACGTGACCTTGAGCTTGACATCATGCTTCTTCTCATACGCCGCGAAGATATCGTTGAGGGACTGGATGCGGCAGTCAGCAACTTATAATCGCCTACAGAGGATCGCAGCTTACAGTGCGCTCAGCCTCGATACGGAACGTTCTGTTCTTGACCTCTTCGCGAGGGAGGTTCGTGAGCGCGTGTACCACGAAGCGGCTGATATCCTCGCAAGAAGTGAAGGATATCTCAGCGGTGCCGTCACCGCCTATGCTCCCGCTGCCACTCTTCAAGTCGAGGTCAAAGAGCGGGTGCCACGTCGTGTCTGCGAACATCCCGATGAAGAACCGCGTAGTAGCAAGGCCCGACGCGCGAATCTGCGCGTCTATAGCGGCCTTGCGGGCGAGCGCACCCTCGGTATGGCCGTCTGTGGACAAGCCGTACTCCGAGGGTACGAAGAGTTGAACGTCAGCTGCCTTTGCCGCTTCGGCAATGGGTAGCTGTAGATCGAGAGCGTTGTGCGCGAGCGTGGAGATGACGACATCGATGCCAGCCAGCGCCTTGGTTACGTCCGGTACAGAAGAGTAGTCCTCCACTGCAACGATGCTCGCGCCGCGGGCGGCATACGCATCAAGCTTGTCAACAGAGCCCTACAGCCGCCAGTCACTGTGAGTGAGAATGGTCGCTCTTAACAAGACGGGGAACAAAGACGTACGGGGCGGGTGAGGACGACGACTTTGTCGATGACGCCAGCCGACTTGGCCTTGAGAAGCTCGTCGGTTAGGACACCACCGATGAGACCCGCTCCGACAACTGCAAAGGTCTTGTAGCCGGACATAAGAGGACGGACGAGCGATACAAGGCAGGGTGGTGCTGTAGATTGTTGATAGTGCACACCACACCGATTCACCTCATATTTATATATGCATGATTCCATGGAAGCTTTCCGAGCCATATCGCGCATTCACCGTCGGTGACCGATAATGACAAGCCGACTCGGTTCGGAATCGAAGCCCAGGGTAAACATCAGAATCACCAGCCATCGTAAGAGTGGGTCGACCTCGTTCTAGTCTCTAAGACTCACGAGCACGAGCTCAGCTGGTCGGATCCTTATAAATCCATACGGGAGACGGTCGTCGTGGCCGGGGTTACGAGTGCGCTGGCCGTATACGCGCGACTATTTCCGAGGTTTGAGAGCGACCTTGCACAAGATAGGATTTCTTTCATCTGAGTACACACAACCATGTCATAACGGAAGGGCTGAGAGCACTGAGATGAGATCATGGACGTCAAGGGCCAAGCTAGGACCCCCGAAAGCCCACTACGATCCTCGATCCGTTTTCCGCACCATTTGGGCCAAAATTGGCCTGGACCTCGATCCGTTTCCGCACCATGGTGCACAAATGGGGCCGGGATGCTCGATACTTTTCCGCACCTGGGGACCGCGGGGTTGTGAAGTGCGATATCTTTCCGCACCATGGGTGCACAGCGAATGGCGTCGGAGAGCGCGAGCTAGGGCGAGAAGCGAAATTGAACATCCGGCAGCTCTGATTTGGACGAGAAAACGCTTTGAAAGCGCGATTGTACCCAAATCTGTAGGCCGGAGGCGTGGGAAGTGCGTATATGGGCCCTGATGCTCGATTTTTTTCCGCACCATTTGGCCCGCCCGGAGGTAACCTCGATCCGTTTCCGCACCATGTGGCTAACCCTAACCCTAGGGTTTTCCGCACCATCCGGGTCGCCGCCCAGATCGAGGATCATAGTGGGCTTTCGGGGGTCCTGCCAAGCTGAGTTCAGAGTTGACGCGTCGACGGGCCGCTTGCTCTCGAAATAAATACGCGTTGGCGGACGTTGACTCAAAGGGAGAGAGCGCAGCTTCAAGAGTAACTATGAGAGATAACTAAGAGCTAGGAGCTTCTAGGTGAAGAAGCGATGAATATTCTCGCTCCTCGAGCCCTCTTGTTACCAAATCCGCGAGCCTCGTGTGTGATTGCATCATATTCTCGAGTAGCCCATGACGCATGCGGAATATTGGGACCCGCAGCGGGCCACAAGGAACGACCACACCCTTTGAGTCAACCATGACAACCCAACCCTAAACTCCTGAAGCAAGTTCAAACTTAACCACCACCATCCACCGTTACTACCCCGGCTCCCGTCGCTGGGCGCGCGCGCTGCGCGAGAGATGCTTGTCCTGTCTACGCTGCACAAGCTGCTCTCCCAGGCCATCTCGGCTGATGTGCACGCCGCGGCGCTATGGACGCCGACGGGGCAGCTGGTCGCGTGCGCGCACGGACGAGGACGGAGTAAAGACGATGTGCGCGTTCTTGTCGGTCTTGCCATCGAAGTGTGGACCGAGGTCAAGGGTTTCGCCGCTGCCGAGACCGAGGTACGCGCCGAGGCCATCGTCATCCGATTATAGCAGAAAGCTAACACGACATCGGTAGATTGGAAGAATTGTTGTCGTACCTATAGAAGACGCGCCGGCCCCGGAGAAGGGAAAAGATGCGGAAAAGGCAGAGCCTGCTGAGCCATTGATGCTTGTGTCGCTGTCAGCGTCCGAGAATGTGGATTGGGATGCTCTAGAAAAGAAGGCAAGTGTCAATCAGCTTATAGCCTGAATACCCGTCTGACGGCTATGCTTCACACAGGCGAAGGACATCGCGCAGCTTCTTGCGAAGCCTGTAGGCAAAATACGTGCACCACTGTTGGCTGCGCCTACCAAGCCAGCCGCACCTCCCACCCGGGGCCGCGTCGCGTCGTAGCGCTTCGGCAGAAGGCTATCTGAAGTTATACTCTCATGCACAGCATGCTATGCTCTCATCATTCACACAAAACTATGCCTTTCGGATAGACCTGGCTATTCCTTTTCCGCTTTTGACGCGCTTAGCTTCCCAAATGTTGTCTCGACGCGTTTGCGTTCAACTTTGCTGTAGACCGCTTCACGCGCTGTGTATCGTTTTACCTCGTTCCCGCACCTGTTCCGAAGCTGTCGTACTGTACATATAATGCTAATAGCCCCGTTTCGTGCACACGCACACGTTGATTCCAAAGAAAGGTCGAGGGAAGAAATCGCACTGGCGAGGCACGGCATCGGTGCGACGCGTGAGCCGTTGCGCGCGTCACGACCTGTCCGACTCTGCACTGAACGGCGACGAGCGCCCTCCCATTCTCGGCCATGAAACGATGGTCCGCCTCCGCCGCAGCCGTCGCCCGCTCTTCCTCGCGCAATGACGCGCGAATACACCCTACAAAGGCGTACAGCGCGCTCGCGGCCGCGCACCGTCACGTCCCGGACGCGTCTGCTCATGCGCACGCGCCGCTACCTGTACCGCCTTTGACAGCTCAGCCTGCACGACCAGATCCGTATAAGCTGTTAAAACCTGAGCTGGATATACAGCGCGAAAGGCTCTTGAACTTGCTGGGCTCTGCACATCCGACTCTGACAGAAATAGCGAAATACTACTTCTTGCATCCGTCGAAGCAGGTTCGACCACTGCTTGTGCTGCTGTTTGCACGTGCGACAAACGGGCTTGGATCTGGCTGGGAAGACAAGGCGTGGGCGGCAGAGTGCGAGGGTGCGAGGGGCCGGGCCGAGGAGCTAGACGAACCGCTGTCTCGTGCGGACGTGCTGAACGACTGGAATCCTTCAATGCCTGATACGACCGCCTCGTTTGCGACTGCGTTCGATCTGCACTTGCCTCCGCCATTGGCGCCTCAACCGGTGCCTCCACCACGCCTTTCGCCGCATGTACCTGCGCTCGCACATGCACTGTTACCCACACAAATTCGCCTTGCACAAATCGTGGAGATGATTCACGTCGCATCGTTATTACACGACGACGTTATTGACGGCTCTTCGACAAGACGTGGTGCACCGAGCGCACCTGCAGCTTTCGGAAACAAGTTCACCATCCTCGGAGGCGACTTCCTTCTTGGCCGTGCCTCAGCCAGTCTCTCGCGCCTCGGAGAGACCGAAGTCGTCGAGCTTATTGCGAGTGTCATCGCGAACCTGGTGGAGGGCGAAATCCTGCAACTGAACAAGGTTGTCGCGGAGAGCGAAGCGCTTGCGGGTGCAAAGACGGGCGGAGGCGCCGACGGGTGGAATATCTACCTCAGGAAGACGTACCTGAAGACGGCGAGTCTCATGGCCAAGGGCGCGCGTGCCAGCGTCATCCTTGGTGGTGGACGCGCAGGCGAGTTGGAGAAGGAGGTCGCATACGCGTACGGGCGTAACATCGGCATCGCATTCCAGGTACGTTTGGACGCGTAGCGCGTATCGTGCGTGAGCGCGTTAGGGGTCAGATGATCTGACTAGATTTTGATTAATCTTAGCTCGTGGACGATATCCTCGATTATGAGGCGGGAGAAGCGACGCTGGGTAAGCCTGGTGGAGCAGATCTGCAGCTCGGACTTGCGACGGGCCCTGCACTTTATGCATGGGAGGAGCACCCCGAGATGGGTCCGCTTATCGCGCGCAAGTTTGGGCAGGAGGGTGATGTCGAATTGGTAAGTCACTACGGGCACGTTCCTTGCATTCGCGTGCTCATATGAGCTGCTCCCATAGGCCCGCGATCTTGTCCGACGCTCCTCCGGTGTCGAACGTACTCGCGCTCTTGCTCTAGCACACGCAGATAAGGCTCTCGCTGCTTTGCAACATCTCCCGGAGAGTGATGCACGAAGTGCACTCGAGGTGCTTACTGAAAGGGT